TGTTTTTAGACACAAGATCTAATACCTTTGTTAGTGGCAAATATTTTTTTATCATTCCATGCTTAACATTTAAAGCTTGTGTACTATGTCAAATTTTGCGATGATCTGTATTATAAAGTTGCTTAAACATTATATTTTAATATCTCGAGTCTTGAAATATAAAAAAATGGTTGGATAAGCATATGGAATACCGAGGTGGCCTATAAGTTCGAGATGTGGGGTAACAGGCAATGATGCAAAGATCCACCAATCAACTCTTCTTATAGCTGAAAACATATAATCAATTTTCAATCAGTGAGATGCCCTTTCGCTTCCTTAAATCATCGGTATTCCTAACCCTTTCTTAAAAGGCTTGAGAATTGGTAGTTAAAAAAAGAACATATACTATAAACACGACACAGATACTACACTTGCAAAAAGAGCAGATACTATATCCACAAAATGATAGATGCCACATTTATAAAATAGTAAATACCACTCCTTAGACACTATACATTAATTAATATATATATACTTTTGATATCACACACATATGCACTCCACATATCAAGTATTACATTTCATACACCTTAGATAGGTACACCACATTCTTAATTGATAAATTTAAACACTCCATATATCAAATATTACTTTCCATGCATCCTATATAGGTACACTACCCACCTTTAATCGGCAATTCTATATTTTACCCAATAAATCCTACACTACACAATAAACACTACACATCACTTCCTACACAACAGATACTATACTTATAACACAACAAATATTACACACTAGACAATACCCAACATATACTACAAGAACAAATACTACATTTCTTTTGAAAGTTTGGATACTGCATAATAAATATCACTTATTAAATGCACCACATCATAATAAGTTCAGATACTATATAGTTCACTCATCAATTAAATGACAGGGTTTAGGGCTGCTCGACTATAGGGGTGATTTCGTTGGTGACCTCTGATTGATATTGATAGGTAGAGTTTAATATATCAGTAGCCTGGGAGATCGAGGGAAAAAAAAAGTCTAGTCTGAGTCTACCCCCAAATTAAAATCTTATAACCCACTTCAAAATTTCATATGTTTATCATTCAGCTTTATTAAATCTTTCATATACATAATCTGCAAATCTTTATCTGATCCATTTTATGTTATTGTAATTTGTTTTGAAACATCAACATAATTAACCATGTACGCATTTTAATTGTTCCAGTTTCTTTATTTTCTCTACTGTATATTTCTTTCTTTATTGCATAGTCGTTTCTTTCTTTACAGTACTTTATTTTATAGCTTTCTTTCTGTCTTTTTCTTTTACAGTACTTTACTACTTAGTTATTTCCTTTAATTACTCCATTGTACTGTATACATCCACTTGTACTCATGCTTTTAGTTACTATTTTCTAGTATGTTTGTATAACACCGTAGGATAGACTGTTCGAGGCATTATTTTCTCTTTTCTCTCTTTTTTCTGGGACGAGACGTTGACTTGGTCGAATGAAGATTCATCTCCGGGCAACGATCGAGACGACAACAGAAAGATGGTAGGAGCATAAACTGAACTTTGATCGATTTAATTAACATATCTATAGGACATCGAGGTTGTTCTTCTAGTACAACATAAACCCTCATATCATATTTTAGGACTTTGTACGTATGATATAAGTCCTAAACTTTTTAGGATTTCAAGGTCGTAGTTTGGTACAACATAAATCCTCCTATTTTTTCGAGTCATTTGCATATGATATGCCAATATAAGTCTTGAATATCTAACTAATCTTCAGGACTGAAATATTAAATGATTTTTCTTTCAAAGATGTAAAACAAAACCATAGATTAGTTTGAGATGTCTTTGAATCTTATTCAGTATCTTCAACATCTCCTATATTTGCTCATTTGGATTCTGAAAATAAATGTTCTTATTTGAACTTATTCCACTTGACTTTTTCTATAAACAATCGTGGAAATTTAAACGTTGAATTCTTGAAGACGAAACACTGATTTTAATCGAGAGTTTTCTTAGGTGACTTCCGTTGTCTAAGATGTAATTAACTCTATGGGTTTGCCTATATAGGAAATTGAAAACTCAGATTAATCTAAATCATGTCTAATCTGTGCATTAGGTAGAGAAATTTGTCGGCTATAAATTTGCAGGCCAAAATAAAGTGATAAACTTTTAAGTTTAATTAGTTATGCCTACTAACAAGTGATACTCTCATCTTTTAAGATGATATATCAGTTGTGGTATCGTGCTCAGCTATTTAAACTATTAGATATATGAGCTCTATCCGGTTTCATAATTTAAAAAAAAATAATTTTTAAAAAATTCAAATTACATTATATATTATATTAAATTTAAGTTTTGAATCTTATTTTCAGAAATATAAAAAATGGCTGACAAGTTGTAAAGTGGGTGGTAGATGAATTGGTATTCAACCACTTCTATTAGGAGGATGACAAGTTTTAATTACTTTTCCTAGGGCTTTTAAGTGTGTTGTGGCCTCCCAAGTCCATACTCATGTTGGCATAAATTTAAGTATGCATTTTAGGCAAAAAAAAAAGAATGAAAACAACCATGTACTAATCTGAATGAGATCTCCCAATTAACAAGATCCATATTTCAATATGTCCATTACTATAATTCTTTCCCACTAAGTTAACCACTTAATTCATAAGAAAATAATAGTATGTAATCAAAACACAAAAATATAGAAGGGCTCAAAAACATCAAAACTCAATATCATCATGGGGCGACGCCAACATCAATTTAACAGGGGGTAACTGATGTTGGGGTTATCCCTAATCTCAACGAAATGAGAATATTGTTGTTGAAATTCCAATAGGATTGTCATTTTTCCAGACACAACTATCCCTTAATCGTTTTCACACAACTGCAAAAAACAACCAGTCAGCTTCCCTGCAACAGCATCCTGGGGCAGAGCTATGACCTCATGCCTAAGGAAGACGGCATGTTAATTGTGCTATGACCTCATGCACAAATTTATGAGTCGCAGTTCCACCAAGAAGTAGATCCTGCAAAAGGTAGTGCTATCAAAATTATGATCTAGACTAGATATGAATTATTAGTTGTACAAAATTATGAATCGGTATGATAAATGATGACTTGTATTTCATATGTAATCACCTACACTTCAGTGATCCTTGTGACCTTTATTTTTGACGCGAAACCTTTGACATGCATCGCGGTTACTAAAATGGTTCACTAATTGAATACCCCAACAACTCAAATAATAGCTCTCCTGCCACTCTGACATGAATCTGAAAAACTATCCATCTTCAGTGAAAAGAGAAATGAAAACATCCTATATATATAAGGTTATCAATTAAACAGAATTTAAAAAAGTTAAAATATTCAAATTGAACAAGGTTAATTCATATGTGAATTGTTAATTCATGTATGAATCACATGTGAATTATACATATTCTCAACATAAAAAAAAAATTCACAACCCTAACTCTCAAATTGATAAAATGATAATATCACTAGAAAAATATTCATTTAACAACTAAAATATCATCATTAACAATATTCACAATTCATTTTAAAATCCAAAAAACTCACATTCATTAAGCATACCAAGGTCTACAATTATGGGAGGTAACAACATTTTCAAGAAACTAGTCAATAAAACAGAAAATGTGGCACTAACATGAAATTAGATCAAACATTAGAACTCATCTCAAACACAAAATACTCAATACAATCACTAATATGTCTGCTTTCATCTCTCAAAGAAATACTAATAGTTGGATATAGTCAGTGAGCATTACTGAGCCATGCATAAACAGATGAATGTCCCGCAAATACGTGACACCACCATATAGGTTCTTCAGGACATGCCAATATGGAGCAACAACACCAGAAACTATAAAATCATCTCCATCCTCTATCAAATTTATTTGCTACGAAGATCATTTAGCATCATCTTCGATAATTTTCACTAGTTCAGAAATCCTTGCTAGTCCAATAGGAACACAGTGGCTATTAGACGTACGATTCAATCCTCGAACAAACTCAAAAACGCATATAAGTCCATCAGTCCAAATGTCACATACAGGAGCACTCTCTCCGCAAGGATGAAACTTTTGAAACTCTTGCTCGCTTGACTCCATGTTACTTTTACTTTATGGAAATCTCAAAATTATATTTGAAACTGAGTGTACAGGGTTCTGAATTATTTTGAAGGAATTAGTCTGAGGTTCTGCAATTATTAATATGTCAAAGAGTCCGTTCTAATTTATAATTGCAGTTATAAATTCTCGTAAAGAGGAAGTGCAAAACAATTACATGTTGAGAATCAATAACATATTCATCGAACGTGCGGTATAAAACATCAAATAGAAAAATTAAAAAAAAAACAGCTAATTATTATATATACCTAAGAAAGATATTAATGACCAAATGTTTTAACCCCAAAATACTCCAAACAGTTTTTTTTTCAATTAACCCCTAATTAAATTATAGCCTCCCATCAACACGTCTTACTGCTTTTAAAATATCTATACTTACACAAATATGTTAAATAATTATGAGTTTATTATTGGATCTAATATTATCCGTGGAAAGGTATAAAACTTTTATCATAGATACAAATTAAAGCAAAAGATATCAGGGAAAAAAAGATCAAGGGTTAGAATTTCATTGTAAGTGGTTTTGTTTAAAAAAAATGTGAGCCAATTTGGGCTAAAAATAATTTAGGAGAGAGAATTAAACATGGAAATTCAGAAGGTAGTTGGCACCGTATCTTTCCTAAGTATCTACATTAATTAGCTGTTTTTTATTTTTATTTTTTTTCCTATTAGATGTTTTATACTGCAGGTTTGATGAATATGTTATTGATTCTCAACATGTATTTGTTTTGTTTTTTTCATTTACGAGATTTATAAATGCTATTATAAATTAGAACGGACTCTTTGACATATTAATAATTCATATCTAGCATAGATCATAATTTTGATAGCATGACCTTTTGCAGGATCTACTTCTTCCTAGTGGAACTGCGACTTATAAATATGTGCATGAGGTCATAACACAATTAAATTATCGACTTTCTCGGTGGGATGATAGGTAAACAAAAATTTGTCACTTTTACTAGCAAAAGAAGGAAAGTTCAAAGTGCCCCTCTTGATTTCTTTGTTTTAAGATTGTTGTATTCAAAAAAGATTTTTTTTTTTGTGCTACTTTCAAGAGAAAATTGTTTCCAATAGAATAAAAAATTAATGTGTTATATTATGATGATATTGCTTGTCTTTTTTAATTTTAGTAGATGCATGCAAAATAAATGTAGTTTGATGCATGATGTTTGATCTAAATTTGAGGCTTTTAGTATTTTTTAGTTAATGAAGATCATTTAAGCCTATCTAAAACTCTCAATCCCCCAAAATCAAGTGCATTCAATTCAAGAAAGGTCATGTCATGTCATGATTTATGCGTCAGTTATGGTTTAGTGCTGATAAGCTCTATTTTGTATTTTGTCTGAAGGACACAAAATAATTTAAATTATATTATAAAGACAAATCAACCGATGTTATAAAGCCATAGGTCACAAGTCATTCAAGATTGAGGTTAAAGGTACCAACAACCTAAAGAAGTAAGAAGGACAACTACTAATGAGTTATTGCTCTAAAAGTTTCAGTTATATAGGCATGAATATGGTTTTACATCATCATAACCGCCCTTTAACTCAAACCGCCCGCTTATAGCTCGCTCCATGTCCATATTGACACATTCTGAATGTCTCTATTTGAACCTAAACATCTCCACAATTAATGTTAGATAGGACACATGAGAATGTTAAGAAGATTTACATGTTTAGTGTTCAATCCCTATGTATTTAATATATATAACACCTAAACTTTAACATGGTTCACTTTATTTAACACCATCCTTGCATTTCTATTTGGGTTGCTTGGAGAGCCTTCGCCCAAGCTGTCCTCAATAGTTTTAATGCAAGGAAGAATTTCATCTTTACTACAAGATCAATCGATGATCCATATAAATACCCAACCATAGAAAGAGAAGAAAAAAAAGTAGTGTTCAATTTATAATTTAAGTTGGTTTCAAAGCTTGCTATGGGATTTAATCGTTAAGTGTTAAATATACAAATACGTAGAAATTGGGGAGCATGTATGCACATTGGAATTATATGATGTGCAAGTATACCTTCCAAAATCTGGTATCAACATATGAATATATGAGAATTGTTAACCCTTAATCAATAATATATATAAACATCTGTCACCAAATATCAATGCATAAGTATTATGAACACTAAGAAAAATTTCTAAATATTGAATCAAGAATATAAATCTCACAAACCCCTTTAATAAGTGAGGTATAACATTAATAAGTGAATAGTAAACTTGTACCCTCCCACACAAAACTCATTTACATTTTTAATATCTAAACTTTTCATGCATGCGGCTAAGCATTTCTTTTTGTAAGGAGGATTTGCATATATATATATATATGCCACATGTATCTTGCACTTTCACATATTTAAGACTGAATCTTTTCTTGCGTGCGGCACACAACTTTGCACTTATATGCCACATGTATGCGGCACACAAGGCTGAATCTTAATTTTTCAGATCTTGTAAGAAAAATTAGCACACAAGTTTTTATTTTTTGGTAAGAAAAGTTTGCACTCAAGGTTTTTTTTGTAAGAAAAATTTGCACCCAAGACTTTTTTTAATTCATAAACTTAATTTTTCACCTTTATACCATATTTAATATCTAAACTTAACTTTTCATATTTTAAAAGTGTAAACTTACAGTTGGTATAAATAATAGATATAATTTATTAAATTTAAGATGAAATTCTCTAAGTTATTTGTATTCGTAACCATTCATATGCGATTTGGATACGATGAAATGAATATCTTTGTCAGATAAATCTACAAAGGCATATATCAATTTGAGGGATAGATGATTGAAGTTAATAATTACTTAACTGAAGATTCAAGTGTTGTGATTCAATGTGTTAAAAGATCAGAAGGGTCCAAGTATTCAGGGAGAACATTAAGTGAAGTTTAAAATGTATGGGTGTACCTATTTAAATTAGTTTTTGTGATGGATGTATTCCATTAAGAAATGTTATGGATGGTAAATATAGATAATTCTTCAGACAAGTGAATGTGATATTGTGGTATCTAAGATATAGCTATTTTACTCAAAGATTGTAATTAAACCAATATGTAAATAAGTTTGTATAAAAAGTATGATTAAGCTAAAGTTAGTGATTGAGTTAAAAGAGTATAATGGACTAAATGAAATGATCTATTCAAAGTATCACGACTAACCAAAATAAAATAGTATAGTAAAAAAAATGAATATAAGTAATAGTCTAGTCAAAAGAGCGTGACTAGATTATGACATGAATAATCTAGTCAAAAGAGCATGGATATGTTAAGTGCAATAATCTAGTTAAAAGAAAATGATTAGATTAGAATACAATTATATACTCATTGTTATATTTCTAATTATGAGACAACTCCAACTTGATCTACGCATTAAGGGATCAATTAAGAGAGAAACTAAGAGTATTGGATTTTACATATGATCGTAGAATGCGATTTAGATACCAATGCGTGTTGTAAAAGTAAATGACCAATACACCAGGTCAATTCAAATAAACACATATGATTATTTGTTTTGGTCAGTGTCTTTTGCAAGTGTTTGCATATGTTCTAAATTAGATTTTAGCTTTGAGCGATTCGAATCCAATTTCATGAAAATTAAACATGGATTTATCTTCTCTTTTTGAATCATTTTTTAAATTAGTAGTTTTGATATTTAAAATTACCTAATTTTTTTTAATTTTTGGAATTAAAGATCTCAACTTTGAATACTTAATTGATAATTAAAATAAATGATCATGATTTATTTTATTAATAAATGAAATAATTTAAAAAAAAACTAGTTTTGATTGAGAAAATTTTGAAATTAATTAGTTTTCAATAAAAGAGATGGCTAATGCTCCGAATATTTATAATCAAAATGATAACATTCGCCAAATATTCATGAATTTATTTTAAAATTTTTTATTGTTTTCATAGTTATCATAATCTGTGAAAATATAAATAAAAAATAAAGTAAATGTTTAAAATAAAATGTTTAAAAGTGTTCATGACGTGTTCACTTATTTTAGAGAAGCTGCTGACCTTACTTTTGGTTGAGGTCTAATTTCTCCCTCTTTAGTGGCCTAGGGTCTAATCATAGTAGTTTCCTGTTGACTATTTCTAGAAAACTAGAAAATGAACTATCACTATTATAAATTTTAAACTCTTCTTTTCTCAACTTGAAGTTCCATATACTGGTCATAACCTCTAACATTTAGTAGGTGTAACTACTATAAGAGAGCTCACAGAGAGTCCCCATAGGACTGCTTGACCTTAGGGTTGATGTTGGTCTGGAGCTAGTTCACTCACTGACACCCATTTGCACTCAATGTCACTCACTTTTACCTAAATTCCCAATACATGTAGGACCCAAAATAGGGATTCCACTGGTCCATGGCTCAACTATGGTGATTGGCGCTCCAACTTTACCTAAATAGTTAATCTAGCATTTTGCACCCAAATCCACCCCATTTACCGAATACCTCTCCTAGCCCAAAAATTTCAAAATTTCCTAAAAATTCCAAAATCCTTCCAAATGTTCCCAAAATCACCGTGGACCACTCCACTCACCCCCAATTTGACCTCTTTGACCAAAATCCCTAATTTGCCCTTAAAAACCCAATTTTCTCAAATTCACCCCAAATGTTCATCAATTTGACCCCAATTCCTCCCAATTTCAATTCTAAACTCCAATTGAACATGCCTATGAACAATTTAAACCAAATCCAAGCCAAATTGATGCTTTGAGCTCAATTTTGACCATATGACCTAATCTCTCCCAATTGAACCATATGACCCACTCAATTGCCTCAATTTGATCCTAAACTCTTCATAACAATCCTACACATCAAATTGGACCTTCAATTGACCCTAGTCAAGCCTCAATTTCATTCTATTTCAATGCAAATTCAAAACCCCTATTTCTGCCCCAATTTAGCCACATGCCCAAAATCTACCAAGTCCTCTGCGTATGTCGAAAAAACACAGTGCCAGACTCGATAATATCCAACAAATTTACAGAAAGCGGGGACGCTGACTACAAACGCAAGCACCTGCACATGAAGCGCTTAGTTCTTCCAACAATTGTTCAACTAGTCTGTAAGTTGAGCTTTTTAGGCTGAGAAGTATTCTTAGTTTTTTGTCTGTTGAATTGCTAGGGAAAACATATAGACCAAATCATTTGTTTGAGTCATCATTATTCATGCTTAGTTCATGCAATAACGAAGTGACGATTGATGGAACTACGACTGAATTGGATGATTAGTGAAAGCATGATGAATTAATCTTTTCTATAATATTGAAGATGCACCAATAAGGCTAATATATAAATTCAATGTGAAAGTCATAGGTAGTTGATAGTAGGATTTATTGGAAGGTTCATAGTCTGTAAACAATTTTTAAAAGGGGATCTAAGACTGATTGGAATCTCAAATTATCAGAATAGTCATCATATTTTTTTAATCAAGTAAAAATTGGTTTTTAGTTCTTTTTTTGTCAGCTGTTTGGGGCTTAGAGTAAGTTGTGCAATGCACCTATTGTATTTCAAGGGAAAATATATATTTATTTTTTCAATCATGATTTGGGTTAGTTTTGGATAGAAACCTTAATGTATGATTTTTTTTTTTTCTTTCTTGGAGTCGTTCCAAAATCTAGCGTGAAACCCCATTCCTTTATATATTTAAAATCCACCTCTTTGTAACACATCAGAAGTTAAAAGAATCTTTCTAGAAGCTGTTAACATAGATTGGTGTAAACTAAATATAATCAACACATAATATTCACATACATAATTGAAAAAAATAATTCATAAACCCATGCCAAATAGTTGGAATAAGGCTGATAGTAATGATAAAGAACAATAGCTTTTTCTTTATTTTGATAGGCTTAAACGATAGCATTATCAGCTTCACTTTTCATTTTCTTTAGCTGCATTATAGCATATGCTGTTTGCCATAACCAGCTCCTTATGGTTTAATGGTTTCACATCGAGGCTGCCATTTTGCATAACTTTTTGGGCATCTTACCTATCCATTCTTTAATAGAAAAGTTGTGTAGGTTTATAGCTAATTTTAACTTCTACAGCTACTGTCATTATTCTGAATTTTTATTCTTTTCTGATGTGTTTTTTGTTTGATTTTTTAGGCTATCTCGCAAGTTTGTTTTTTGTGCTGCTAATGAAATCGAGTTGAAGTTTGTGAACCGGTACATTCATCAACTTTAATGATATTGACGTCGTTCAAAAAAATATTTAATGCTGCCCTTTATTAAATTACTCATAATCTGGGTATCTTTGGGTTTTGTGGGCTGGTTGTTTCCATAATAGTTAGCTTTTTTGGGTTCAATATGGATGGAATCTCTGGTGTTGAGAACACTCCCTATGCATTTGCACTATTTTGTGAACTTCTCCTCTTCATTGGAATAGTATTAATTTATTTTAGCATGCTCTATCTTGGGCTGAAGAAGTCCGCCACTGAAGAGCAGGTCAATGCTAGAAATCTTGAGCTCCAGCAACTGTTTTTCTTGGTCAAACATGATGTAGAGGCACATGTAAATGTTAAGGAAGGTCTCTCCAGGCTGCGGACATCTTAAATGATGTTTACTACCATCTCTTTGCAATTTTTGGTATCATAATTTGCTTGAGAAAGGTTTTTTTACCTGATTTTTATGGTGGCCTTTTTGACATTAATAAGCTGGTGATGGATGTTTGGAGAGGGAATGAATAAAACTTATCCTGGCTTGTTGATATGGTGAGTAAGGAGGATGCTTGTAACATGTTTTCATGGGCCAGGACTTTGTTAAAAAGGTTGTAGGTTTACCATCTTCAAAAAATAGTTATGTGATCTTCATGAAATTGTAGGTTTACCATCTTCAAAAAGTGGTTGACAAAATGCAATAAATTTTCATTTTACATGCATTGTATAAATTTATTATAGTAGCATGTACCTTATTTATGGGTTTTGAAAAAGCTGATGGAAGGTAATTATGTTGTTAAGTCAGTTTTACTCATTAATATTTTTTATCTATGAAAAATTAAGTGTTTTATAAAGTTTACTATACTTTCTTAATGTGCAATATTTGTTTTCTAAAGTGAAACATTTATTTAACGAACTAGTGCACATTAACTGATATTTTTATGAAGTTTTGGGTTGACATTATGTGGAAAAATATTGATAAAATTTAATATTTTTTTGATTTTATATTTTGTGCATGGATTGATCACTAAAGAAGAAGCATGGTTTATGCCTTTATGATAACTGAAATGTGGTGATAATGTAAGGTTACATCATGTTTCTTCATAAATATATTGAATTAAGGAAGTACTTGTATTTTATTGCTGGGCTTTGACAAATTGCTCAAGTGAAACCTTTTTTTAGGGAACCATCTGAACTTTTATATAATCTTCATAAAGGTTTCGGTTATCCTTCTTCAAAAAATTTTTGACTAAAGGCAATAAATCTCAGTCTTACATGTGTATGTGAATTCTAAGAAGGGTGAAACATTGTAATTATGCAAGTTATGTTAGGTTTATTCGTCAACATTTAACATTTAAAAAAGATTTTAAGTGTATTATATGATTTACTTTTCTAAAGCTTTAATCCGAATGATCATAATTTCCTTATGAGATGATAAATGGGACCTACAAAATTTTGGTCAAAGATTTAGCAATCTCCGTCTTGACATGAATTTCCAAAGAATGTAGAATAGACCTTCTCCGCCTCTTTGACAAAGTTATAAAGTTCAATAATGAACACTAGCCAAGTTTAAGTAATACTCGAACTTCATTATTGGAACTCTTTAGGGCATCATATTGATAGGAGGTACACTTGGGGAGTCAATCTGTTATTTCAAAAGTTGGGAGAACAAGAGCAAGAGAAAGACATTGTGAAGTAGCCACGCCTTAGCCAAGCAAAGTACAAGGAGAAGAACTGGGTTGCGACCTTTCTATGCAAAAGAGGAGGAAGAACTAAGGGCTCCTTGTGCAGGTGCTTGCGTTTGTAGTCAACGTCACTACTTTTTTAAATTTGTCGGAGATTATCGAGTCTGGCACTCTATTTTTTCACCATTCGTGGAGGAGGAGAATTGATTGAAGTTGAAGAAGAAAGGAGAAGAGAAGGGGCTCGGTATCGTGCGTGAAGTGGAGAGCTGTCCCTGACAAACCCTAGTAGAGCGGCTCTGGGGCAAAGAGGAAGGAGGAAAGAGAACAAACGTGTGCAGGTGCGGTGCTAGGTTGAGCCACAACAAAAAGCAGAGGAGGAATAGAAAGGCAAATGCATGTGTTAGAGCAGTCAATCAAGCCTTATGAAAGGGGAGTTTAAGATTTTAGTTTATTTAATTTAAAAAATGTGATATATATATATATATATATAGTCGGTCTAAATCCGGCGTTGGTTGGTGTCTCCCACTCCACGTCGGTGTGTGGTTTCACTCTGATTTGCCGACCTCCAGTAAGGCTTGTAGCTTCGAATTCCTCTTAATTTCTTGGATCTGAAAGCTCTTCTTTTACCAAGGATTCTGTATAGAAAGTAGGCGGAGGCAACTGCCTCCTGTTTTCTTGACCAAATTTCTTCTCAAAACCCATCGGAGTCTACGAAGAATGGGAGAAAACCCCACGGTTTCGCGCTATGTGAAGCTAACGAACGAGCACTATAGGAGAGCCTCAATTGCATATTTAACATTTGAACTATTAAAAAAGCTATAACACCCTCCACGTGCCATTTTGCAAATTCTCTCCCAAATTTCAAAATTTACAAGAATATCCTTACTTTTCACTTCTTCTCAAATTCCCAATAATATGATGGTGGAAAATACACGATGTCCGTAAATAAGCAAATGTTGAGTGTTATTTGTGTCATTTCTTTTTCATACTAGTTAAGAAAAGCATAAAAAATGTGTAAATTTTATGTTTTTCATTAATAAATCTCTGAAATTGTTGTAATGCAGGGAGTGGAGAGAATCAGATGACATGGGAAGTGCTGGCAGCCAGACTTGTATATGTGCCATCCAATGAAGCTTATTTTTGGCATATTTACATGCATACCCGCTCAAATCCTATGCATTTACACATCTGTCCCCTGAATTTAAAGTTTTTACATACATTCCATCGTATCTGTACATGAAGATGTGTATTTCACTTTTTCAAATTTAAGATGGTGGTATTTTTTGATGTGATATGAAAGATTTGGGTGGTATGAATGTAAAAAAAATGAAGTCTAGGTGTTAGATATGTAAATACATAGGAATTGAGTGGTGTGGATGTAAATTTCCCTCCTGTTTATGATCAAGCAAGTTATAAAATTGCTGAATTTTTTTTTTAGATTGCGTGTTTAGGGCCGTTAGGGGTCATTTATTTTTTAATTTTTTTTTTATTTTTTAATGGATATTTCATGATTTTGTTTTATTTATTATTATTTTTTTAAAAGGAGTGTTTTTAAGTATTTTTTTTTTTTAATAATATTGCCATTTTTTGGCCAAACATATTTCAACATCCAATAAATATAAAGAGAACATATCTTTTATATATATATAATATTTTTAATGTTCTAACAATCAAAATATATGCACAAGTTCTTTTAGATAGGTTCTTAGCCCAACAAATCATTCCAAGGAAGAAGCTTCAACAGGTTAGGGTAACAGTCATGCTTCTTGCCTGCAAGTATGAGGACATTATGGTTCTTGTCATTGAAGTTCTTATCGTCATCTTTGACCAAGCTTACACGAGAGAAGTCCTTCAGATCGAAAGTTTGATGGTAAACACTCTACAGTTCAATGTGTTCACGAGGAGATTTCTCAAGGCTGCTCAGTCTGATAGACAGATTGAGCTGCTTTCTTCTTATATCATAGAACTATGCCCCGTTGAGTATGAAATGTTCAAATTTCGGCCTTCAATGCTTGTTGCTGCTGCAGTCTACACAGCTCAGTGTAGTTTAAAACGATTCAAGCACTAGACTGGGACCACTGAGCTGTACAAAGTACTCGGAAGTCCAGCTTCTAGAATGTTCTAAGATGATGGTGGATTTCCACCAGAAGTCTGGGAAAAGAAAGCTTACTGGGGACCATAAGAAATGTAGCACATTCAAGTTTGGATGTGCAGCAAAGTCTGAACCTGCTCTCTTCTTGTTGGATATGAGGAACTAACTGAAAAGAAAGCTCTAATCTTCTTTTTTTCCGGAGCTAAAAAAGGTTTGGAGAGAGTTGGGGGAGTGATTTTATATCTTTTTTTGCAAATTAAGTTGCTAAGATGCATGCAATGTGAGTTGCAGTTGTGCTAAGTTGCATGCAATGAATAACAAACATCATTTTGCAATCAAATATCTCGCGCGCGCGCGCGCGCGCACACACACACACACATAAACTTCTCACAACAAAACAACACATCACACACACACACACACACACACACCACACACACACATAAACTTCTCACAACAAAACAACACATCACCAATCAATCATATATTATATTATGCTACTGATCTAAAAAAAATCATTAAATAAAAAACCCACCATACTTAAATTTAAATCCATTCATTTTAATCCAAAACTTCACCAAATAAATATATTTTCATTTACACAATAAATAAACATCAATACAAATAAGCCCACAACATTAAATTATTTATTTGTCATACTTTGCATAAATATATCAACTAAACCCTAAAAAAATATTACGTGTGATGGCTGCACGTCCTTAAAACAGTTCAGATAAATTGTTGTGTGATACACGATAATACTAATTTCAAGACTTAACTTTACAAACCTCAAAATCCCCCTCACCTCTCTTCCCTCACTTCCCCCACTCCCTTGTACTTATAAAAACTCACAAATCAGAAAATAAATAAAATCGACAACCCCTATAATTACAATAAAATAATAAAGATAATCCACCCTCCCCTCATCAATATCATCCTCAAGCCAGTTTCTCCTCCCTTCCCCACCAGTCGTCTTCTTCACCACCGCTATTAACAAACTGCTTAAATAACTCGACCCCGCCAGGCTACAGAAGAATAGAGCCCCTGCCAATGTCTGCATGTGCTCCGGAAATTGCCGGTTATAGAACTAGATTTGCCCCACCGCATTAAATGCCTCCTCCACCCCCATAACCAGCAGCTGCGGCGCCACCCAGATAACCGGAATTGCCACCCCTTCCGACGACTAATCCCTCCTTTTCTTCTCCATCGCCGCCGCCATCACCATTGAAAAAATGGATATCAGCAACCCCACTCCTTGCCTCTACAACAGTGTGATCCCGCCGTCGAGCTTCGTGATCCTCCGGGTTACCGGAACAATGACCATGTCATATACGGGGATGAATGAAGCTAACCCTAGCATGGAGATCGTCCCCACCAAGCCCGGCAGGATCATGAATTGTGGACCGAGATGACGGTTCATTTTAATGGATTGGAGGACAGAGAAGGTCCATTGTTGTCCGAGGGCGACGAAGAAGATGATCCTGGAGGTCCAGATGGGTATGATGCGGATCAATTAGACTTCTTCGACTGGTTGTAGGGTGCAAGCCGCCATTGGCTCCGCGGGGGGGGGGCG